ACATCCCCACCGACTTCGACGCCATGGTGCGCTCCAAGTCCCGCCGGGGTTCTCTGGCTCCACCCACGCCGTCCGGCAGTTCGTCGCCGACTGAAGATAAATCCTCTCCGCTGTCGTCATCCTCGACTCCAATCCCTTCGTCAGCCTCCAAATCGAAACACGTCACCACACCACCTGAGAAATCGCCTGCCAAACGTCCCAAAACCTCGGGGGTGAGAATCCTTTCCCGGAAGCCGAGCCGGTTCAATATTGGCCAGTTCGACGACGACATCCTCAACGAGATCTTTAAATACCTCGAGCTGCCCGAGCTGATGCGCATGCGTGCCGTGTCCACCCACTGGTCCCGTCTCCTGAGCTACTCTCCGCACTTATGCAAAGTCCTCGACTTGAAGCCATACAACCGGGTGATCAACGACCGGGTGCTGATCGATAGCATCGCGCCGTTTGTAGGCCACCGACCACACACGGTGGACATTTCCCATTGCTTCCACATATCCGATGAGGGCTTCACGGCGCTGGCAAACCTCTGCGGTCACAATGTCAAACGCTGGATCATGAAAAGCGTCTGGGATATCACGGGGCAGGCTGTCCTGGAAATGTCGAATCGCGCCAAAGGATTGGAGGAAATCGACCTTTCGAACTGCAGAAAGGTTTCTGATACACTCCTTGCAAGAGTAGTCGGCTGGGTAGTTCCCGAGTTTCATCCTATGTGGGCCGAGAATAATCACAACCCTCACCAACAGCAGCAACAACAACATCCCTCCTCCTCACGCCACGTTCCGCCTCCGCAGGTCCATCCACCTGCAGGCACCGTCATCGGATGTCCTAACCTCCGCTCCCTCACGCTGTCTTACTGCAAACACGTCACTGATAGGACGATGAGCCATCTGGCAGCACACGCCGCTAAGCGGCTGGAACACGTGGATCTTACGAGATGTACCACCATCACAGATCAGGGATTCCAGAGCTGGAGTTTGACACGCTTCGAACGGCTGCAGAGTCTGTGTCTGGCAGATTGCACCTACCTAACGGATTCTTCGGTAGTATTCCTCACCACCGCTGCCAAGGGCCTTCGCAGCCTTGATCTCGTAATCCCCCTCCTCCCCCTTTCTCCCCCCTCCACTAGCTAACCAAGCAAATAGTCCTTCTGCTGCGCCCTCTCAGATACAGCTACGGAAGTCCTCTCGCTAGGATGCCAGCACTTGTCAACCCTGAAACTCTCGTTCTGTGGCTCGGCGGTATCGGATTCTTCGCTGAGAGCTATTGGCCTGCATCTACTGGAGCTGAAAGAACTGAGCGTTAGAGGCTGTGTTCGAGTCACCGGTGTCGGCGTCGAGGCGGTCGTCGAGGGCTGCCATAATCTGGAGGTCTTTGATGTTAGCCAGTGCAAGAACCTTCAGAGGTGGCTTGATAATGGCGGCGTCGAAAAGTGTACACAACTTTGGAGGAGGAATATTAGATTTGAAACTGTGGCGAACGGGGTTGTGGCGGGTGTTAGGAGGAGGTAGTCGCCGGGAGGAACGAGGTTTTGTGGGGAAGGCAACATGGGGGGCAGTGATCGCCGTTTTGAACGTTTGACACGATGTTGGGTTTTGAATACTTTTTTTTTTTTTTTTCACATGTTAACTTTGGCATAGACGGTTTGCGGTGTTGATGTTTTTGGTTTTGATCTTGGATGTTGTGGGATATGTGCGCCTTTTTTTGGCTTATTCTTATGCGAGGAATCGAATGTGGATTTTGAGACTTATGATTGAGGCGCGGAGAAAAAAACATAATGCCGGAACTTGCACACCTATGATATGTGTGAAGCATCGGATATCACTCGGCTCAACCGCGCGTTTCAGGGAATTGAAGGTTGTAGTTGGAATCTGATCGCTCTCCCCGAAGGGTGGGAAGGAGAGAAAAGCGGACCCACCTCACCAATGATGGCCAGTAGCTTGGAGGCAGGCTCACAGTGATTATAATTGGTGGACGTGCACTTGGTTAGGATTTGCCCCCGCCGTAAGGGTAGAGTATTAGGGGTACTGAATTTGGCTGAAAACGGCACCATATATGGTACCAGAATACGGACGTCTACTTTCATTTTAGGCACATAATATGCCGTTTCATTTCAATGATGGTCGGGGATCAATAAACCTCCAAATACCCCACCGATTATGGTCCTCCACATGATCGCGGCTCACATGCTAGCACTCACATCCACCGGAATCAGGCGCAAAACAAGCGACAAGAGGAAACAACTTTTGCGGCGCATAATATACCCAATTTTAGGCATCTTTTATTGGGGGGTATTCAACTACATGGCCCATATATGGTGCTGTTTTCAGCCAAATTGAATACCCCTATTGGAATTGACTGCGTGGCTTTGTTGGGCGAAGCTTTGTTAGGTGGTAGAATTTTCTTAACTTCTTCAAGCGAGTGACTATGACATGCATACTAACTAGTATGGTTTAGATAATGCAAACACCTGGATCCTTCGTAGGCACAGTGCGAACACTGAGGGGAGTTTACTCTACTTTGTATACAACTCTTTGTCCTCGTACCAATGATTCGTGGACGGCGTGGTGGGGGCTTTGTTGGTTGGATTCATCGGCCGACAAAGAACAGGCCAGACGTTGACTGCCCGGTCCGTCCATGCACTTGCCGAACATATGGAGAATTTAGCAGTCCCAGCTCTGACGCCTTGAGCTCTCAATCGTCTATTGAGATAACTCCCTTATAGAGAGTTTGCAGTGTTCTCAATGACCTCTGAGGTCGGACTGGCTGTTTATTTTAGTCAGTTGGGCCGGCTTCATAAATGACTTGCCTGCGTCGGCATAAAAAGCCCAGTAACTACTCCTATTAAAATAAACACCAGTGGGCAGTAACAAATCAATGAATACAGTTCTCGCATTTGATTCAGTGCATTAGGATATGCATATCAGCGGAAATTCGCAGAATGATACTTACTGGTGACTCGCAAATGCTAGTGAGAGAATGAGGTTGTGTTCATGACCAGCCGGACCGAAGACTTTGCAAAAAAGCCCATGACCAAACCCGTATTGAGGCCGCGGCCTCAATCCCAGGCTCGGCAATTTTGCGAGATGGCTTGAGGGGAAGCTACATCCCTTCGTTGCGTTTCGGCCAAATTTCGGCGAGGGGGCTTGGCGTAGTGAGTGACGCTCCGTGAGTAAATTTTCACTGTACCCTCCACCAAAAAAAAGCCTGACGCTAGGGTCCCTGGTTTACAGCCAATTGCGGGAGCAACGAAGGACCTTTGTTCAAGTTTGTTGTGTGTGGCACGTGCCCGCGAAGACTTGGCAGCCAAATTAGTGTTAACCAAAAGAACAGCTTCACGCGTGCTCGCGTTACCCCATTCCCATCACCACCACCATCATGGTACGTACACTGCTTGTCCCCTCGCTGCCAATATTAAATTGCCTCGCAGGCTGACATTAACCCCTCTCGTACCACCATGACCCTGTTCTTCAAGAGCGGCAAGACGGTGACCCTTCTATACGCGAACTCTTCGACCCCGTTATACAGCCTCAAGACGGAGCTCTTCAGGCTTCTCAAGGAGAACGGCCAGCACCTCGACATCGACCTCCCCGAATCTGCCGATGACATCACGTTCGGGGCCATGATTGATCCCGCCGGATTAGATATCCACCTCGGTTTCCATGTGGTTACCAACCAGGAAAAGAGGAAGACTACGGTTAAGGATGCGGGTTTCAAGGATGGCTGCACGGTCGCGTGGAGGTTGAAGAGCGAGGAGGGATTTGATGTGATTTCTTCTGCATATGAGGATCTGCAGAACCAGGATTAGGATGTGCTGTGGTGCCTCGTGCTTCAAATCTACTCCGGTTTCTCTGTGGTTTCTCTTCTTCGACCGGCTTCATCTGAGCCCTACTTTTATCATACATGGACCACATGGTGCTTTCTGCCCGATACACTTCTACAACTCCATTCATCCCTCGAACTCGTGTACCGTAACGAGTGATGAGGTTCGTACGTCACCTATAATAGCGAGCTCTCCACGCGCTAATTTTTGTTAGCCACGGGGTCCAGCTCTGAGCCAAAGTTCGCCTGTCCGAATTTTTTCGCAACCTAGGCCTCGTCTGAAGTCACAAGTTGTCCCAGGACTCCTTCCGCTATCTGCGATTGTCATATCAACCTCATTGCTACCTGCAGTAATGTTGTCAATATTCGTCAACTAGACCCAACTTTTCAGGCGGCGGTGCACAGGCTTTTACCATACCTTTTGCTGCAAGACCTGTGTCTCAACAACACAGGCTCAATTGGGTATTTAGCTCGGAGGCCGTCTATTATTTCCCACCTACAAAACTCAACTCAAATCTTTCCACCTCTCCGTTTTCGCCAGCCACAATATCGCCTCTTTTTGGAGGCTTTGTTTTTGTTGCGCTGGCAGGGCTGGATTTGTTGTTTCATATTCGTTCTAGTGGCAATGTGTGGGGGACTTGCGTTGCAGGGCTATTGGGCGGGCGATGCGGCCACCCAGCAAGCGGACTGGAGCGGGCGACCGACTGAGATCCATGACCGCACTGACCTAACTCCAGGTGCACCCCAAGGAAAAAGACCGCAAATATTTCTTCAGAAACGTAACGCACTCCCCAGTCGCCGCAATCGTTGGGATAACGAGCCCAGGCGAAGCAATAGAAACATTCTACTTTCAATCTTCCGCTAGTCCTGGTCGATCTCCCCTCATACAAATGCTTGATTTCGGTAATCGAGAGCTGAGGACAAAGGGCTGTCTCTCGGTTTCAACTTCATGATGATTCGCAAACACCGCAAAGCGGCGGGATCCTGTTTCCTAGATACCCGAGATCATCCTTATAGTTAGCTGGGATTCGCCCTCCACCCTTCATTTCTTGCTATCTTACCTCGTAATCAACGATTGCGGGGCTCTCGACTACTGAATGCTATCTGGCAGTGTTTTCGGTTATATCTTTGCGGTATAGTAGGACCATACATGTTCATCGGCTGACCAAATCAGCACAAATGATTCAGTAGTGTAGGGGTATCATAGGCGCTTGCCATCAACCAGCATACTGCGCCTGACCCGGGTTCGAATCCCGGCTGAATCAACTTTTTTTTTTAAAGGATCTTGAAGATGGGTTGTTTCTTTTACTTGGGTTGGCCAAAAAGATTTGATTCTGAAGGTGTGGTTTTTGTAGTATCTCTCTCTCTTTTTTTGTGTATACTACTACGATTAAAAGAGGCATGGACCTCATACCTCAGAATGGCTACCAACCTCCTCGAGGAACCCGGCTTAGGGAGAAGGTGGAAATTTGGTGAAACGACCCTTAGGGCATGAGCCATGCCTCCGAGTCTTCTCAGATGGTATTTCTTTGTTTGAAGTCTGCAATTTCTCATGATTTGTGATTTTTAATATATTCCAATCGAGCTCCATCTTGGTCAATATAACTCTACTTTCTGCAACACATATATCTACTCCATATTAGAGCTATATGCATTCAGAGCCCTCTGGTGGCAATATGAATCCGGAACAGACTGAATACTCACGATAAACTCACCGTATAACAGTGATGAATACCGCATAAACTCAGAAATAAGAGACTCGACGGCGCGAATCGAACAGTGGAACAACGTGTGAGGTGTGGATGAAATTTGATACCAGATTCGCGGATTTGTGAAAGTGGTGTGCAGGGTCCACGGCACCCGAACGTCCTCTCTTCAAAAAACACCGTGACAGTGGCAAGTAGTGGTGAATTTCGCTCGACTCCTGGTATGCACTTACCAATTTTACCCATACCTCACACAGTTCTCTAGTGTTCTATTCGTGCCGTCGAGTCTCTTGTTGCTGAGTTTATGCGGTAGTTCATCGCAACTAGGCTGAGATAATCGAGTGACACGATATGATCCTAAGAATTTTGGGACTCACAAATCGGCCTTAGAAAATACATACATCCACAACACAGCTCAGGATTACCACTCTTTTCTGAGGCCGTCCCACTGCAGCCTTTGCAGCCTCGCGCGTGGTTGAGGTTCCCGCTAATTTCATTGGCTACGGTCATTGTTGATCACTCGATGCGTTGCCCCCCGAATTCGAAGAGGCAGAAGCTGTATTCCCAGCCCTTTAAATTGACATGGCCAAATGAGGAAATCTGTATCAACCATCTCCAAGAAGTGACCCACTACCCTTCCCTCTGCTCTTATCAATCTTCCTCGCAATCTCCAGCACCACTCGAATACTCTCCTTGATCCGCTCTTCCTTCTCGACCATTCTCGGTTCCGCAGAACGAAGCATTTCCAACTCCCTCTCAGACTGCTCTTTAACCTCAATCAGGTTCTTCGCCACCTTATCCGACAACTCCATAAACGCCGTATACCCATCACCACGGACCTCCTTCAATGCGGTGATCGCCTTCCTGAACATATCCCCCTTGATATCTGCCTTGTTCCTCTCCGCGTCCCATTTCTTGTCAAACGTCTTCTTCGCTTCCTGGGCTTCAGCGGTCCACTGTTTATCGACATCAGCCCTGGCTTCCCTCCCAGGCACAGCTTTCAACCACGCTTCTCGCTGTACTTCCATAAACTCTTCGCGCTGTTTTTGCTGCCGTTCCTCAACGGAATGACGCAGGGCTTGAAGCTCGGCGCGGTCGGCGGCCAGAGAGGAGAGGAAGGCGCTGCATGCAGAGGGGCTCGAAGCGTCAAGGTTTCTGAGACGTTCGGTGAAGGCGGAATCCTGGCGGGACGCAAGCGCTGCTAGCTGGGCAAGGTCTTCAGCTACGCCGGCTTGGAGTTTCAGAAGGGCGTTGGCGGTGTCGTCAGATTCGCCGATTTTGGAGGGCGCCGTCATTTGTGCTGTTGCGGTTGAAGGGGATACGTAACCTAGCACACGTTACGGTGGTATATATACTGTAGCGAGCGTTAAACTTGGTACAAAATGTTGTGGTGACAGGTGTTTTGTAGGATGTGGCAGATCAAGACAAAGGAACCGGAATGGGGTGACAGAAAGCGCCGTGGGGACCGAATTTTCGAGTGGCATAGTAGGCGCCGCCGCCACTGTTCACCACCGCGAGTATTGAATACCTCAAGCCCCCGCCGCCTTCAAAGAAGCGCGTACAACGATGTATATATCCTGCCGGGTTTAAGGACCACTAGAACAGCTGGAATAGCCTCTGTTTACCGTAGTAGGCTGTGAAAAGATTGATGCTTGGGAAGCGGCGGGGAGTACGATGGGAAAACATGGCAGTAGTAAACATAATGAAAGCGTGAGTTTAGACTGGCAGTGACAGGTATTTCCCTTGAGACACTCTGGTGGCTTCAGAAACAGCGCCCAAATGGCGTGACAGACATGCTGCGTAAAATATATACTTCCTAATCGGAGCATTGTAGCGGACTTTGAGGATGGGACAAAATCTTGCGGTGAAAGTTTTGCTTTGGAAGATACAGAGCGGTGAAAGTCAAAGGAACACCGGGGGAGTGACAGATATTCCGGAGAGGACAAATTTCGGTGTGACAGATCTAGAGGTTGCGCAGCGGAGTGACTGAGACTCGGAGCCTGAATCTGACACTAATGAAGCCGAGTTTCACGGCTGTATTGGGCTTGCCAAAAAAATACACCGTGACGGTTTTAGAATTTCGGTGAAATGTTGTAGACCTACAGGTAGGTACAGCAAAGGATGATATTGAAGAATAGGTCAGGTTTCCACGTACGAACCAGCCTGGTGACCGGCGATGTCCGGTTCTCAAAGTTCGCTACAATGGTATGCTAACTGAAAATATAATCGAACAATGCCACGTATATTTTGTATGAAAGGGACCTCGTTGTCGTCTACACTGGCCTTCATGCGGTGAGTGTGGCTAGCTGTCAACTTGAACAGCCTGTTGTTCAACCTGAAGGGGATTTTGGATTTGCTTACAGTTCGGGCCTTAGGTGGAATATTTGGCTTGGTGTTTCATTTCACGTGCATGCAAAATCGTATGCCGCCAGTGGAGCTCATGGGATATTGTGATTATAACAATTTAAAGCCACCGGTTCTTGCAAGAATTTTTTTTCTCATCAGCGATTTAGTCGATAGCCTGCTACTATAACCTATATGGCACAGAAGTTGAGGCCACCAGTGAACAAAGCCCGCACGTTTATGACAACAACGTTACCGAGTGACGTGACATGACAGACTTTGACAGCTGTCAACGTCTCAAATGCTGTGCTAAACAAACCCCACCTATGTCTCCTCATCATGCCGTTTGTGCCCGCTCATATATTTTCAGTAGATCGAAAAACACCACCTACACTCGATATCCCTCTCTTTCCCTCCCGAAATCTCGCCCTCTCTGCGTTTCCCTCAGCAGGTCGTTGGTAATGCCCATCATAATCCGCCCCTCATACGCTTTCACCTGCCACCATTGCGGCAACATCAACACCCTCCATTCAAGAGCCAACATCAACGCAGCCGCTCCCGCCATCTCCCCGAGGCCAAGAACGAGAAGTCAGACTTTCCCATTACCGTTGGAAGCGCAGATGAAGGCCAACCTCCTACCAGAGCCTTTGCGAGGGTGGACTTGTGGAGCATGCAATCATGTGTCTTGTAGGAATAAATGCAGCTTTGGGCTTCGATATCGGATTTTTGAAGAGGAACGCTGCGGGGGTGGAGTAATTGAAGGGACTGAGTGGAAGGAAATTGTACCGATTTGGTTATTAGGGGGAAGGATGTGAGCATTCTGTGTTTAGGGAGTTAATGAGGTTGTTCTATCGGGTATTCTGCCCGCTCGCTCATTGTTGCCCATCAACCCTAGTCAGACTCCGTTTTGACGGAGGTGGATACGTCGGATGGCTTGATATACAGTCCAGCCTGTGCAGGCTGTAGAGGAGGACGGCGGCTGTCTGGTATCGGTACTAGATGTGCGGGGTGCAATCCTTATACCAGATCTACTTGGCGCCGGGAATCTGGAAATCTCACTCGGTAATCTCGCCAATATGGTCCGCGAACATAAAAGTTTATTTTACCTATGGCCTCAAACGCTGCCTGAGAAGCGTAGTGTGCGTTAGTAGTAGAAGAAGAAGAAGTAGAGCCGCAAATTATAAGAATGAGTACCCCCAAATTCAATCAGCACGATTAATAGGTTGAGGACCGGATACAAGCAGAGAGTATTGCAATTGGATGACCCTAGCTTGAACAAAAAACTGCTGGAACGGTTTACGACTGCAGATACGGACAATGGGATGTGCAATCAAGTGCTGCTCGGTGAGACAATCATTCCTCTGTTCTTGAGGCCACCCGTGTGCACCGTTGATTAAAACACGAGGACAAAGAAATCAGAAAGGGTGTGGTGAAAGAAGCTCTTGAAAAGGTAACCATCTCATACACGGAGGCAAAACGACCAGCGACGACGACGACAGCGATGAGCAACAGCTCCGAGGAGTTGCCTGTGAGACCTACTATAACAAAAACCCGGGTTATCGATACCCTTGAGTGCCGCATGACGCATGGCACCAAACTCGTTACGGCCCTTCTGAAAAGTGCGCACATGTGAGAGAAGGACGGAGGACTGCCCCAAATAGTAGAATGCCCGTCGGGGGACCGGGGGAGGAGTGCGGCATTTTCTGTATTTCGCTTCACTGCCGACCTCTTTACAACCGTATTTTATGCGAATATGGACTGTTGCAAATGCTGTAAAATACAAGAGCCCGTAGTTGTGCCGGGAGAGAATGGTAGTTTAGCAAATGCTGCACATTCCAACCCAGTAGTTTTGGGGTTTGTGTGAAGAATATCGGGGCTCACGCCAGTTCGACTGCTACTCTACAAATCACGAGAGTGTAAGAGTTGGGAGCTATATTCATCAGCACAGTTATTTGAAGCGCCCACTGTTTTGGGGGTGTTGGGCGCATTGATGGGGCTCAGATACCGCATAAACTCAGAAACAAGAGACTCCACGGTGCGAATAGAACAGTAGAAAACTGTGTGAGATGTGGGTGAAATTGGTAAATGAATACCGAGAGCCGAACGAAATTCACCATTGCTTGCCACACGGTGTTTTTTGGAGAGAGGACGTTCGGGTGCCCCGCACACCAATTTCACAAATCCTCAACACACCTGACACATTTTTCTGCTATTCT